GTCTTGCTAGGCACGAGAAGTGCAAAAACGCATAGTCGCTCCGGCCCGCCTGGTGCGTTCCAGCCTGGGAGCGTTTTTGCTGTGTAACGCTGTAGCGCTGCTACAGCTAGCAAAAACGCATACTGTCGAGAGATTGTGTGTGTGTGTGTGTTTTGTCACCCATTTTCATCTCAGCAACCAGGAAAGCTGGGAGGCTGAAATTTCAGGTATATGTTCCTGTCCCGTGTATCACCCTCCCGTGTTAAGATCTTTCCTCATACGTGCCTAGACCCCGCGTAGGGACCCCGCAAAAAATATGCAAGTTTCTTCGGCGGGAAGCGATTTCACGATTTGTAAACTGGAAATTTGCATTTTTTCAAAAAATTTGCATTTTCATCCCTTCAAAAAGCTGGCATTCACTGAAAAAACGACCGAACTTCATGCGAAAACTGGCAGTCATGTACTGAAGGTCCGTGCGGTTCTATAACACAACACCCTCATCCCAGCCGATGCCCATTCTGCTGCAAGCTGGAAGAAGCCAAAGCATGGCCATATGAGCCCGAGTGTTTGGCTTCAGCGTGGGGATTATTCTTGCTATTAGCGACCCGCGAGTTTAGTGCAAAAACACACGATCGCACCGGCAAGCCTGGTGCGTTCTAGCCTGGGTTTTCTTTTTTGTAAGAACAACGATGGGCAGTAAGAACATCTTTTTTCACCTTATTTTATTTTCCTGGATTTAATTTGTCCTTATTCACGCAGGTTGGGTTACTGCTTAAGTTCCTTTTTGTGTAGTAGCTTAATTTTGCATAAGAAAATGTTGTGCACCATCCGTATGATATTTTTATGCGCTTGCATCTGTGCAGTGCAAAATCGAGGGGTTGTCTGTGTTGCGTCTTTCCCAATTTTCATCTTGGGACCTACAAAGGCTGCAAGGCTAAAATTTTGGTAGTTTGATCTGCACGCATGTACAAGCCACTCTCCCCAAAATGGGCACTGTTGTCCACGTGGTTCCCGCATACAGGCCTGTGAAAGTTTTTGGCTGGTAAGCTGATAACTCGAAAACCGGAGAAGTTAGAAAGCTGAAATTTCAGGGTGATGTTTTCTGACACTTTTGATAGCCAGTCTCAATTCCTTTAGCTAGAAGCATCTGCTAGTAAAAGCAGTACCGTTAGTGGCAAAGACCCGCGGGGAACTGTGCGAAAAATGCATGTTCGCACCGTCAGTGGGTACGCTGGCCAATTATTTAGAAATGCAAGTGGTGGCAACACCCAGGGTTGTGCGTTGCAGCTGAACTTTTACAAAGCAGTAAAGATGTTTTAAAAAATTATCGCTTTAAAATGCCTGATACCAGCTTCATCTGTTATGCGCATTACCTTCCGGTTACTCCGGAGTAGAAAATCGAGGTAGCGATGCACCCGGCTTATCAATGCATTCATGAGTTTTGCGCTTCAACTGTGAAGCGGTCAGTTCTTAAGCATTATGAATCGTAGCTACTCTACAGTTTAACATGTGGATTCATGCTGCGTGATTTTTGGCCGTTCCTTGAAGGGGTTGACTGTGTCAGTAATGCTTTATCATTGGGCCGCGTGAAACTATAAACTCCGGCAGGCATGATTACTGTAAGTTTTGCATGA